TGAACTAGGCTGGGCTGAACTGAATTAGATTGGGCTGAGCTAGGGTGATCTAGACTAGGCTGGGCTGGGCTGAGCTGAGCTGGGCTGAGCTGAGGTGGGCTGGTCTGAGGTGGGCTTAGCTGGGCTGGGCTGAGCTGGGCTGAGCTGGGCTGGGCTGGGGTGAGCTGGGCTGGGCTGATCTAGACTGGGCTGGGCTGGGTTGAACTATGCTGAGCTGGGCTGAGCTGAGCTGGGCTGGGCTAGGCTGATCTAGACTGGGCTGGGCTAGGCTGATCTAGACTGGGCTGGGCTCGGTTGAACTATGCTGAGCTGGGCTGGGCTAGGCTGGGCTGGGCTGGACTGACCTGGGCTAAGCCGGGTAGGCTTGCTGGGCTGGGCTGAGCCTGGTGGGCTTGCTGGGCTGGTCTGACTGAACTCCACTTTATTGAGCTGATCATGTCTTTGTTAGGCCAAGTTGAACTGGATGTGGCAAAAATGTGTCCTCGGTGTGTTTGCCCTGGAGTGATTCTGGCTGTCCTGGATAAAGTCCACTGGACCATGCTCACTAGATGGGGTGGGCACAGTGGGGTAGAGTGGAGCAAGGTGGACTGAGCTAGGCTCGACACTGGGCTTTAGGAGCCCAGAGCTGGTTTTACGACCAAGCCCAGCCTGCAACAAGGCAGGGACTGGTACAGAGCTGTGTGAACCATGGGTGGGACTGTGGTGGACTGTGAGGTGGCCTCTGTTCAGGTCAGCCTTCCCACCCTCCCCTAGGAGGTGGCAGGGAAGCCTGGACGGGCAGGCAAGGGCTGAGACGCAGGGAGGGCCAGGCAGGGGCTCCCATCTGAGGAGCCGAGGTGTCTTAGAGCAGAGCTCAGGAGAGGGAGGGGACTCCCCATGGTAAGCCCACCATTCTGGGATGGGGGAAGGGGGAGACTAGTAGTCGGGAAAGACTCTGGGTCCCCAGCCCCCATGGGGGATATAGGTAGAGACAAAGGGACAATCTGGTAATTCCTGGGGTCTGTGGTTCCCTGGGTCCCAGGAGATCTGGGGTTGGGTCAGCCCCTGGGTCCTAGGGTGTCTGGGTCCTGGGCTTCAGCCTAGGGGAACAGCCTTGTCCTCTGCTGTTCTAGAGCCTTTGTCCCAGCCTTCAGGGCTGAGGCTGGGTCAATCCTGCAGCCCTTGAGGTGGGGTGCAGGGGTCCCAATGGCACCTGGGCCTGGGGCTTGGGAGGAAGAGGTGGAGTTAGAGAGTGAGGACTGGACCTACACAAGCCTGGCCATCTGGCCCCCAGGCTGGGTCGCGTGGTAGTCTGAGGCCGGCCTGACCTGGACCCTGTCCTGCAGCCTCCATCCAGAAGCCGTCCGTCTTCCCCTTGCGCTCCTGCTGCAGCGAGCCCACCTCCGTGTCGCTGGGCTGCCTGGTCACAGGCTACTTCCCAGAGCCAGTGACCGTGACCTGGGACACAGGCTCCCTGAATGTGAGCACCCTGAACTTCCCCACCGCCAAACTCAGCTCCGGCCTCCTGGCCAGAACCAGCCAGGTGACCGTGTCCGGCACCGGGCAGTGGGCCAGGAAGAGTTTCACCTGCAGCGTGGGCCATGCTCCATCGGCGACATCCCAGGTCAACAAGATCGTCCAAGGTAAGCGGGGCCAGGCTTGCTGCAGCCACCACAGGAGAAAGCAGTCACAGCAGCAGGGACTTCTCGAATGTGCCCAGCTGGGATGGGGAGGACAAAGCTGGGGGCAGCACCCAGTGTGCCTGGGGACCTGGGCGGGGGCCGGGGGTGCCTGGAGGAGGAACCTGCAGCTCAGGGGACCTCACGGCTCACACCTCTGCCCTAGGTTGCTTGCCCTCCAACTTCACCGGCCCCGATGTGACGCTCTTCCACTCATCCTGTGACCCCAGTGGGTCTCACTCCGTCATCCAGCTCTATTGCCTCATTTCTGGCTACACCCCCGGTGACCTCATGGTCACTTGGCTGAAGGACGACAAGCCACTCTTCAAAACAGCCTCCTCCATTGCCCCACCCACGCAGGAAGGCAAGCTGGCCTCCACCCACAGCAAGATCAACGTCACCCAGGAAGACTGGATGTCAGAGAGCATCTTCACCTGCCAGGTCACCACCCACGGCTTCAGCTACCGGGCCCATGCCCATAAGTGCACAGGTGTGGCCCCGTCCTTCCCTGACACCTGGACACCCAGGAGCCAGAGGCGGCTGAGTGGGGGCCTCATGCTGTCTCTCCCCACCCCACAGATGATGAGCCACGAGGGATAAGTACCTACCTGATCCCGCCCAGCCCTCTGGACCTGTACGTCCGCACAGCGCCCAAGCTCACCTGTCTGGTGGTAGACCTGGAAAGCAAAGAGGGCGTGACAGTGGTCTGGACCCGGGACAGCCAGAAGCCAGTGACCTCGGACCCCTGGAAGGCCAACAAGCAGCTCAACGCTACATTCAGCATCATCTCCACCCTGCCAGTGGACGCCAAGGACTGGATCGATGGCGAGACCTACCACTGCAGGGTGACACACCCTGAGCTGCCCAAGCCCATCGTTCGGTCCATCACCAAGACCCCCGGCAAGTCACGGGCCTGGGCAGGTGGGCTGGCCTCCCTAGTGGTCAGAGAGGGTGGAGGTTGGGCTGACACCTTTTGTCCACAGGCAAGCGCATGCCCCCCGAGGTCTACGTGTTCCTGCCACCTGAGGAGCGAGGGGGCCAGGACAAGCTCACCCTCACCTGCCTGATCCAGAACTTCTTCCCCGTGGACATCTCGGTGCAGTGGCTTCGCAACGGGCAGATCCACAATGACCAGCACAGCACCACAGCGCCCCTCAAGACCAACACCTCCCACCCCTCCTTCTTCATCTTCAGCCGCCTAGAGATAACCCTGGCAGACTGGGCACTGAATACCAAGTTCACCTGCCGCGTGGTCCACGAGGCACTTCCTGGCCGGAGAACCCTTGAGAAAACCGTGTTCAAGAGCCCTGGTAAATGAAGCCACTCTGCCAGCCTCCCCCCACAGGGCTCATCCAGCAGGGCAGGAGGGAGGCCATCCAGGCCTGTCCACTAGGCCTGTCCACTGTTGTGATGCACCAGGAAGCCACCCTAATAAACTCTGCAAAGCCTGCTCACAGCCCTGGGTGCCCATTCTTGGGGAGGGCAGGGCTGCAGAGCAGAATTATCCTCCTCAGAAGGGTGCCCCAAAAGAGGGGCTGAGAGGGGCTGGGGCAGCAGTGAGGCCCGGCTCGACAACCAGGGGTGTCTGTCAAATAGCACACCACATGATGGGGCTCGGCACAGAGACCCTGCCCCTAAAGAGGGTCACAGAGTCGGAGGAGATGGTCCTCGGTGGGCCAGGGCGAGCATCCCAGGAGATGTCAGCTCTGTCCCTGGAGAGACAAGACCCCACATCTCCAGGTGTCCCTGCCAGAGTCAGACCCCAGAAGCCCTCTGCCTCCCTCTGTGCGTGGGGCCAGAGGTCAAGCCCACTCATCCCCACGCCCTGACTGCCCTGCTTCATGGTCACACATGGGTCAGCACCCACTGTCCTCAGCCTTGCTGCTGGCCTCACTCCAGCCACAGCCACACAAGGAGACACCAGCCACACACATATATGTCCAGTCACATGCCCCTGTGCCATACATGCTGGTCGCAGAGGGGCACACACTGATCACGCAGCATTAGGCACCTGCAGCAGCACCCTGCAACTGCACAGGAGCTCACAGCACCCACCCAACAGTGTGTCACATGTGCTCAGGACGGCCTGCCCCTGGCCTCCCATGGCTGCCCATGCCCAGACCACTCCAAGTCCTTCCCTTGACACAGCCAGGCTCCCAGGTCCAAGACAAAAAGGGAGACTCACACCTCAGCTGGGATCCCAGTGCCCCCACCAGACCTCCCCCTATGGTCCCAGCCTCCCCGGCCCACCCCTCCCTGGCGGCCCTACCCCACAGACAGGGAGACGGACCCACAGCAGAAGTGTCTAAGCTCTCCTGGTCCACCACAAGCCCAGAGCAGGCTGCACGCCCTTCCCAGAGCCTGGAGGACAAGGGGTTAGAGCTGTCCATGTGCACCCAGGCCCCATCATAGGCACAGCCACAGCCAGCTGGGCCTGTGCACACCCACATAGCCACAGAGGGCATCTGGAGGCGGAGGGCACACGGCCCTCTGCAAGGGAGATGCCTCCCCACCCAGGCACCTTCCCACCAGGCCCTCCTCAGAGCAGGAGCACAGGAGTGGGCCCAGCACCCAGGGCCTGCCCCAGGCCCACCCAGCCCAACCCCAGGCTGTGACAGAGGAGGGCCACTGACCTCAGGTGACCAGAGACAGGCATGAGGCCGAGCAAATTGGTGAAGGTCCCAGAGAGGCTGGGCAAGGGCCCATCCCCCAGACCAGGAGGCTGCTCTGACCCCACAGACCTGGGCTCAGAGTCTGCTCAGCTGGGCCAGCCCTCAGAGACTCGTCACCATCACCAAGACTCCTGGGGTCAGAGCCCTTCATGAGGGCCCGGCATTCTATGGGAGGGGCGCATGGGGCCAAGTTTGGGGCCAGGAGAGATGGGAGAAATAGAGGGAGAGAAACAGGCCAGGCCTCCTGGCCTGGTGGGGTAGAGGACAGAGTCAAGGTCAGGAGTGGGCCGAAGACCGGGATCCCCTGAGCTGCCAGCTGACTTGGTGGGCTTTAGGCCTCCAGCCCTCCAAGGCTGACGGGGGGCTCTAAGTCCTATATGAGGCCGGGAAGGGAGCTCCTCTCCTGGGGGCCTCAATGGGGGTTCCCTGGGCCGGGAGAACTGACTGGCCCATCCTCCCAGAGCTAGACCTGCAGGACCTGTGCACAGAAGAGCTGGAGAGTGCCGAGCTGGATGGGCTGTGGACCAGCACCTGTGTTTTCATCTCCCTGTTCCTGCTCAGCGTGAGCTACGGTGCCACCATCACCCTCTTCAAGGTGGGGCCTGGCGCCTGGGCGGGTGGGGCCCAGAAGGCCCTGGCCAGCTACGGCTGCCCTCACACACACCCTCTCCCCAGGTGAAGTGGGTCTTCTCCACAGAGCGGCAGAGCACACCCCAGGCCCTGCACGACTACGCCAACATCCTCCATCCGGGGGCCTAGCCAGGACACCCCCCGCCACGCAGCCGGGCCTCCGCGTCTGAGCCTCCTGGGGCTGCGGCTCTGCCCAGGTGGGAGGAGGGAGCAGACCCACCCTGGCAGGGCCAGGGTTGGGGCCCAACTACCAGCGCACCAGAGTCCAGAACGTTCCTCAGCCCCAAGGTTCCCCAAGACAGCCCATCAATCACAGACCTCACCCACTCGGAGACCAGGCCAGAACAGCGTCTGGCCCTTCGGCAGAGGGCTCCTGGCCGCAAGATGGGCACTGACCGCCGGGACTCACCCAGGCCCACAGTCCTCAGGATGGCCCCCAACAACCAGAAAACACCCTGAGGCCCAGAGCCATGGTCCCCACCACGGGAGGCAGCCAGCCCAGGGCCTGGCCCATCCCTGTAGTCCCCTGGGCTGGGCAGAGGGGTCCCCTCCCGCCCACAGCCTCGTCCACCTCCACCCGGCAGTCCTGCTCTCATCCAGGCTTCTCAGTAAAGCTCCTCCCATGGCCTGGGTCTCCTGAGCATGCTTTAGGGAAGTGTCTGTGGTCACCCTGGGGTGGCCGGAGGAAGGCACTCCAGGACGTGGACAAGGGCCAGAGGGAAAGCAGCTGTCCTCTGGGAGAACCCTCAACGCCAGTCCCTGAGCTGTCCACACCTCTGGCCTCCAGCCCAGATTCATGTCCCCTCCTCTGTGAGGGAAAGTCCCAACCTTGGGCCAAGCAATCACCAATGCCCTGGTCAGGGCAGGAGTCTCTGGGAGCTCGGATGCCATCACCAAGGAGACGAGGCTGTGGGGCCTCCCAGGACCTCAGTCCATCCACCCTGACTCTGCAGAAGGCCAATCCCCGGCCGCTGCCCCACAGCCAGCCTGGACACTCACTTAGCTGAGTGGTGACCTTTGGTGAGCAAGGGCCACCAGGGGCTGGCCACCATCATCCTTGGGAAGAATACTGGTGGGCCAAGGAGACTGAGCCGGGCACAGGGCACAGCCAGTAGGCAAGGACTGAGGTGGCAGGGGCTGTGCCCCCTCAGCATGGCAGGCGGCTTCCCAGTTGGAAAACTGCTTGGTCTCTGTGGAGCCCAACAAAAGTGAAGGGGAACGCCCGTCCCCCCAGCTACCCAGGAGGCTGCAGAAGGACACCAGTTCAAGGCCAGCCTGGCAACATCCCAAGACCCTGTCTCAAAATAAAAAGAACTGGGCAGCCACAGTTGGTGGGAGGGGAGGGAAGAATGAAGGAACTTTGGTTTGTGCAGAGGGGAGTGTGGGGAGGGGTGGGGCTGTGGGGATGGGGAGGAGGTAGAATGAGATGGACACTACTACCCTACAGATGTGTGTGATTACACCACTGGAGTGACCGCCCCGGGTGCAGCCAGAGGAAGGAGAAGTTGTGCTCCATTTGTGAACAATGTGTCAAAAGGCATTCTACTGTCACATCTAACTAAATAGAACAAATTAAAATAAACTTTAAAAAAAAAAGGCTGGAGATAGAACTCAGAGGTACAGCGCTTACCTAGCATGCATGAGGCCTGGGGTTTGATCCCCAGAACCACGAAAAATGGTGAGGAGAATCCATGAACACATACAACAAAGGGCAGACTTCCTTCAGAAACAAAGAGCACTCTGGAACCAATAAAAAAAAAACCAAGAAAGATGAGCAATGGGTCCTTCACAGAAGGAAAAACCCAGCAGCCAATAACGTGAGGAAAAGTTTCAGTGGTGGAAAGCTACGGTAGGACACAAGGGTGGGGCCCCTGCCCTCGTTGAGGGCTGTGAATTCTTTAGACCATTCGGAGGCCAAGTGACCAAACACCCTTGTTATCATCATGGCAGTGGCTCTACAGGGGGACCTGAACTCTGAACCAGGATGGAAATGGGCCTCTGGGAGCAGCCAAACTGGGCAGCACCAGACCCCACTCTGGGCAGAAGAGCAGCACTGGGAGGCGGGAGGCTGGGGAGGCTCGTCTGAGACAGGAGAGCTGCTCCGAACAGGAGGGCTTCCAAAGTTGCCCAGGCCACAGCCCCTGTCCCCCCCACAGACACACGCTCTTGAGAAGCCAGGCCCCACCGCAGCCCGTGGCCTGCCAGGCTCTCCTTCCAAGCTGGGCACCTCCTCCTTGTGCTGGACCAAGAGCATCCTGGGGGCAAAGCTAGTGTCTTCTTTCTCTGACGACACCCCAGAGCGTGAGACTCCCCAGGCCCCAGAGTGGGATGCTGTCACACAGGCATGGGCTGTAGCTCCCGCAGCCCGGAGCAAGCAGCTGGTCTCCTCCTCCAGAGCAGCCAGGGTGCAGAGCCCACGTGTGGAGCCCGTGAGAACTGCTTCCCAGGACGAGAGCACACCTGCCGGCCCTCCTCCTCACTCTCTCCCTGGCCCACCCCAGTGGCTGAGTGGTGGCCCACAAGAGAGGCACTCACGTCCTGGGCCCTGGAAATCACCCCTTTGGAAGAAGGGCCTTTGCAGATGCAGTCAAGGTCGCTGGGCCCTGAATCCAGTGGCAGAGTCCTTTTAACCAGCCACAGAGAGGGCAGAGGCAGGGCCAGGGGGCTGAATGCCCATGTCCCCTGCAGATGTAGATGCTGAAACTGAAGGCTGGCACCTTGGCAGACCCTGACCACGGGTCACCTGGGAGAACACGACAGACTCAGCCAATCCCAGCGCTGCCCAGAGCTGCCACAACCCACAAAGACCCTTCTGTCCAGCCCGGGTGATGCCACTTTGTTGACCCAGCGGCCACAGGAGCTTTCGAACACCCGCACACCCTCCTGCCTGCCTCAACCCGGCCCTCCTGGCCTCTTGAACCGCCCACCATGGGCCATGGCAGCGCTCCTTCCTGGTGACCACGGGAGGGTCTCTGTTGTGACTTAGGTTGGCCAAGCCCTCAGCTGAAAGGCTGGGACTGGGGGCCTCTGGAAGGCGACTGGGTCACAATGAGCAACACTGACCACAGGCCCTACACAGCGGCCATCTGCGAATCAAGAAGCAGCCCTCGCTGGGATGACCACTGACCATGGT